AAATGCGCGGAAAACTACATAACTGCAAATACGTACACTGAATGCTGCATGTTCAATTTATCAGCATGGAGTACAACCGCACATGAAAACGTGGGCGCCCGGCGTATCCAGTCATTCTTCCTTTTCATTATTCTATAATCGATAACTCATTTTGCTGAGCTATTTTTTTTTCTTTTTTTTGACGAATTATTCGTTCTTCCATGCAAAATATAAAAATCATAAAGTAAACAGTAATTACCATTAATTGATATGACATAATAGAGCATATTCGATAAGCATTAATGATGTATATTGCAATACAAATAATATTTTCACGGACCAAAACCCACCCGCGCTTTAATGATATGGGTAATATATCATAAATGTTCATGTCATGACCCATAAAATGTCTTATCAACAATACCTATTGATGTTATGCATTTATATGACGATAACGAATTACTGGAAATACTAACTTTAAGAAACAACTAATACACAACTTGAAGCATACTCTAAATAAGATTCTTAATATCGATATAGCGAAGGAAAACAAGAAAAAAACAACAAACAAAAACAAAACATTCTAAATTTACAAACACCCACCAACATGAGAACCAGCAAAGTTAGACGTTAAAGCCAGGAATGAAGAGAAATGGTTTAAAATCTGCGGCGAGCCATCCCCATTTCACTTCCCCTTCGCGATAGCCGTGCACAGGCCGCAAAATTGCACTTGCCTTCTAAAAATGTCTAAACTGTTCTTTCGCTGTTATGCACAGGGTTAGTTTGGGGAATAACACCTAAATGACTCTGTTTCGCAAAGTGTTTACATATTCCGGGCTTTTATTGATAATGTGGATGGCTAGATCGGAGAAGGGCATGGCAAAGGCAAAGCAACATAGAATGTAAATAGTAGGCATATAAGTTGTATCTATGCGCACACATATATCTATATATTCATACATACATATATATATACATATATATATATTTATATATACATACATGCAGGCTTGAGGCTTCTCTCAAATAACTATTGAGAGGTTATATGGCAGTATCACCCTTGCCTGATTGGATGCCCTTCCTAATCAACCGTGGTTCGGCCTGCTAACATCTGTGCCACGGCGGTGACTTCCCCTACGACACCTGCGTTTGACGTTTGACTTTTCAAGGCGATATGTCGTTTTCTCGGGCTCGAGTCAGCAGTCAGAGCGCAGGCATTTTTACGATCGTCGCGACAGGGAATTGAACTCCGGTGCTCAGTGCTCTAACCACTGGACCATCGAGGCAGTCATATATATATATATATATATATATATATATATATATATATATATATATATATATATATATATATATATATACATTATATATATATGTATATATATATATATATATATATATATATATATATATATATATATATATATATACATTATATATATATGTATATATATATATATATATATATATATATATATATATATATATATATATATATGTATATATATATATATATATATATATATATATATATATATATATATATAATGTATATGTATATATATATATATATATGTATATATATATATATATATATATATATATATATATATATATATATATATATAATGTATATGTATATATATATATATATATGTATATATATATATATATATATATATATATATATATATATATATATATATATATATATGTATGCATGTATATATGAGAACTGAGGTGGCTGTTCTCTCGGAAGTGGGAAGACCTGGTGATAGAACGATCAGTGGCTACACCTACTACTAGTCGGTGATGGTCACCATCTGCAGGGAGTAGCCAGAGCCATCTCCAGCAGACTTCAGTCCTCGGTAGTAGATGCCACTCCGGTGGCTGAGTGTGTAATGGTATTGAGACTGAAG